TCAGATAAAAGGAGCTCGAGTCAAACGCTATTAACAGCTTTTAATCGTGCATCTACAGGAAACCAAAACACAAAACAATGAAGTTAGTTTTTTTTTTTTTTCTGAAAAAAAAACCGAGGATTGGGCTTTAATTAATTTTATATCAACATCCAAATGAGAGCCTTTGTATGAAATTCACTAATTTGGAAATCTCAGTGTGCTTCATTTTAATGGCTCTAATGTCGATAGATCTCGAACATACCCCCGCCAGCTTGAATTAATTAAATTAGAATTGGTAGCCAAAGCAATGAGTGAAGACTACAGACAAATAAAGGGCTGTGAAACAAAGAAAAGCAGTTCAAACGCGTGAAAGACTGAGAAGACATCAAAAGGAAGAAAATAGAATAAAAGGAAGGAGAAAAAGACTTGAAGCAGAGATTGAAAAAAGAAAATCAGCAAATCGAAACCCAGTGTCATCAATGTCATTATTCTCGATTTTTGCGACGCCACACAAAAATATGACAGCGTCAAAAACCTGAAACTGACCAAAGCAACCTTTCTGAAAAAAAACGGAAAGCATGAATGAGACAAACATTACTCAAGTAGATAGCTACTGCAAGTACAATGAACCCGACTCGGTTACCCAACGCTTCATGAAACTGATGGCATGTTTGGTTCTTGGTGGATTTGGTATTTTTGGCAACGTTTTTGTCATCGTGCTGGCTGCAAAGTACACTGTAACGAAGCGACTGCACTTTTTGATCATCAACATGGCCGTTGCTGACACACTGTTCGTTATTTTACAGCTTTGGAATCATGTGATCGAGACGTTTCTCAAAAATGATATTTGGAATTATCTTGACGAGACCTTCGCGCAGATTATTTGTAAATCGTTGTCATTTTTGCACGCCATTTTGTCCACGGAATCTCTTGTCACCCTACTGATCATTAGCATTGAAAGATGCAGAATCACGAGGAAAAGCGTTCCAACATCGCGTCCTTTATCGTTCAAACGGCGAATGACAATCATTGCTATTTCCTGGCTCATTCCCGTTGTAATGAATTTACACACTGTTATTTACACAGAAATTATAACCAAACGTTCAAGGCAGAGAATTTGCAGTACAAACCTACTTACACCAGTGAGATGGCTGTTTAGTGCGAACGTAGTATTGGTGGTATTATTTTATTCAGTAATGGTTGTCTTAAGCATTATCACATTGCGAAGGATATCTAAACCACAAGCCATTGAGGACAGTCTTTCTGAAGTACAAAGGGAACAAGGAAGAAAGCGAATACGAAGCGCTGTTAAAATGGTTCTCTATTCGTTAATTCTTTACTCCACAAGTTTTCTTTCTTTTCCGACACTGCGCCTTGCCAACAGATCAAGATTCGCGAATTCWGATTATTGCATTGACTGGTCAGCGGTATTATTCATTATCGATTTTTTTCCACTAGTTAATTCATGTTTTAGTCCGTACATTTATTGTCTCTGCCTTTCTGACATACGCCAGGCGGCGAGGAGATTGCTTTGTTGTTTAAATAGATGCCACAATGGCAGACCAAACTCCGTGTCYGTGGTTCCTATTACGATTCGTGTTCAAAGTACTTTTATTTAAGATTCTTTTGAATCATTATCACTACAATTTGCCATCTATGTTTTAATAGATGAGGTGACGGTTTCGGCCGCCATTTTGTTCCGGTAGGCAAAGTGTCGCAAAATAACAAGGAATGACCGGGAAATCGATGTCAAATAATTCTCGCTGARTTCAAATTCCGAAAGAATTATCAATTGTAAACGTTAGATACTGCAAAAAGGAGTTAACTGGCAAAATTTGAAAGGCGTACTTGATCTAGAGAGCGAGTAAACTCATTTTTAGTTCTCCATACATTTCTTTGTATTGACATCGATTTCCCGGTCATTCCTTGTTATTTTGCGACACTTTGCCTACCGGAACAAAATGGTGGCCGAAACCGTCACCTCATCTATTAATTCATTACATGGCTAAGCAAGTTTGTGGAGGRTGTTAGTTAAGGCTCTCCCAAGTAGACTGGCAATTATTAATCAAATTTTCTTAAAACTTATCAACTAAAAGGCAACTTTTAAATAATATTGACACCAAATTGTAATATTTCAATTTTTAATATTTCGTTAATCGTTGCTGAGAGCATTAAAAACAGCAATGACAGGGAAAAAAAGAAACAAAAAAGAAATAAAACAAAAGGAAACAAAAGAAAATAAAAAACAAACAAAAAGAAACGAAGATAAAATTAATACAAAAGCAAAACAAAACAAAACAAAACAGAGAAACAAATAGAATAGAATAATATATGAAATTATGATAATTATCGATAATTCAGTTTTTAGCAATCGATCATTTTAAAAGCAAGAATATTATTGCTGTGTGAATCCGAGGGAAAAAAATAAATTAGAATAACAAATTAAAGAGAGCAATGAAGCGAAATGATTAYTCTTTTCTTTACTCTGATGAATATTCAGTTTTGTCCGAATGCACGCATCGATTTTGAGCTAAAAACAAACAAACAAACAAASAAACAAAGCGAAACATACACGTAGAATGCGATTTGAAGTCTGTCACTTGTACCTGYAAACTCTCTGTTTGGTTGATATCATGCGTGACCAGCAGCACGTGCTTCAGCCGTACAAGGATATGAAATTTCAAACCATTGATGTCACGCCGTAATTCACACAGAACATAACGCCGTTCACGTTTAAATCAAGCAATTTCTCATGGCGTTAAACATTCGAGAATTACATAAAACGTCCGATGAGATAATTGACTCGAATTCTAAGCAGTTATTTGAYCTCAATCATAARATTTGGCTGAAACCCGAGCTTGGTTATGAAGAACATTATGCTCATGAAGTTCTCACTGAGTTTTTATCGTCGAAAGGCTTCAAAGTCGAGCGTCATTACAAGCTAAAAACAGGGTTTAGAGCAGAGTTTGGAAATGGAAATGGTCCAACAGTAGCAGTTCTTAGCGAAATGGACGCTTTACCTGATATCGGTCATGGATGTGGGCATAATTTGATCGCTGAATCAGGAGTCGCCGCGGGACTCGGAATTAAAGAGGTTCTAGAGAAGACATCTCTCCSTGGCAGGGTTGTTGTCATCGGTACTCCTGCCGAGGAGGGAGGGGGTGGTAAAGTYGATCTTATAAATGCTGGATGTTTCAAGGATGTGGATTTTTGTATGATGCTACATCCAGCACCTTTTGAAGTGCCTTTTTACAAATGTCAAGCCAACAATGAGGTTTTCGCTACATTCCATGGCAAATCTGTTCACGCTGTAGGTCAGACGCACAAAGGTATAAATGCTTTAGATGCAGCAGTGATGGCTTATAATAACATCAGTCTACTGAGGCAGCAGTTCAAGCCAACCTGGTCTGTTCATGGGATCTTCACTGAGGCGGGGAAGAAACCAAACGTTATTCCTGAAAGAGCACAATTGCATTACTTCGTACGAACAACTTCTAATAGGGATTCAGAATATTTGAGATTAAAGGTATATTTGTTTGTTGTGCTTATTTTCTGTTCAAAGATAATTTTTATGGATGTTATTATAAAGCTGATTGATTGATTGATTGATTGATTGATTGATTGATTGGTAGGTTGATTAATTGATTGATTGCTTAATTGATTGATTGACTGCTTGATCGATTGATTGATTGATTGCTTAATTGATTGATTGATTAATTGATTGATTGCTTAATTGATTAATTGATTGATTGCTTAATCGATTGATTTATTGATTGATTGCTTGATTGATTGATTGATTGATTACTTAATTAATTGCTTAATTGATCTATTGATGGATCGATTGATCAATCATTCAATCTATCAATCAATCAATAAATTTGGTTGTTGCAATTGGTTGCTTTAATTGCACCGTTAAACGTTTTAAATTTGTGAAGGTCCAAAAGTGTATGGAAGGAGCAGCAGCAGCCACGGGGAGTACAGTCGACATTAAATGGGAACCAAACGCTTTCGCAGCGATCGAAACCAATGTCATTCTTGCTCAGACATACCAGAAGCACTCAGAATCACTAGGYGTTGAATTTCCACTTTCACGTGAAGAGCAGGAAGCGATCATCGACGGATCAACCGACATGGGTAATGTCACTCTAGAAGTACCTGGTATTCACCCGTTGTATTGCATCAAGCCAGATTTGCCCTATCACTCCAATGAATTCCGCGAATTCGCAGAGACAAAGGAAGCCCACGAAAGGACTTTGACGGCATCCAAGGCAATCGCGAGAACAGCTATAGAMGTTTTAGCTGATAGYGGTTTAATGCAAGAAGTTAAGAAAGAATTCAACCAAATGAAGTCAAGATACTAATTCAACTTGACTGAATTCAATTTATGACGGCACAAGAGAAGTTCAAACACGACGAGGCTCTWAAAAAAAAACTTCAAAGCGTCCTAAATATACATAAAAATAACATAATCTGTTCATTAACTTTTAATACATTCAAATACAAAATAATTGTTATTTTTTGATTAAAGTGATTAAAATTTTTTGTTATTTTTATTATGTTTGTTATTGTACTAAACTTTGCGATTGCTCGGTTGCAATTTTGAAGGRATATCACGTGACACATGAACACAGTGTTCTKTTTTAGAAGTGTTTCGAGTGGTGTTTGACCAAATATGGAAGCTTCTTKTTTTCCCAAGATTCCAACCATTATTCTATGAATAAAAGGATTCTGTATTTACCAGTTTAATTGTGTGGTACTATTTGACCGTTTTAAACCATTTCCATGAGAATCAAAAGATAAGRGACTGSCGGCCATGTTGTAGGAATKARCAGTAGAWAGTATGTATGTTCGCTCTTATRACAATACTTTCWTGCTTGAATGCATATTTCTTTGCGGCAAATGAACAGCAAAAGGTGCATTGCTTTCAACTTCTCCCGCGYACAACCACGAAGTGATCATGATAAAGCACGCTCACCGACCAATCAGAACGTGSGYAATATGAGTCATTTGATATTGAGTAATCAAACAGTCATTTCGACTAATTTTGCAWTGTCCATTCTTCAGGGTTCGTGGATGGTGATGCTCATGACAACAATGTTGTTCGCATGGGTCTGGGGATTTTGCTATAATGAATTCCTTGTCCTTGGAAATCCAGAATACATTCCATATAAAGTCAGCAAGAACATGGGAATTAAGAATGAAACCTTCATGAAGGTTGCTGCAATGTGCACGTGGTTTGGGGATTTCATCACCGCATGGATGGTTACTGACATGATGCTGCAGGTAAGGAAATGATCGCTTTATCGGGGGCTGGTCGCTTTGGTGGGTTTTTGTCATAGATATTATAACAGCATGGATGGTTATTGATATGCTACAGGCTATAAAATGATCGCTTTATTTGGGGCTGGTCGCTTTGGTGGGTTATTGTCATAGATTAGCTTAGATGGCCATAGCTAACATGATGTACAGTTGACAGAATTATCGGGTGCTGGTCGCTTTAGAGGGCTAGATATAACAGCATAGATTGCACTGACTTGACTTGGCGGTCAGAGATTACGGACTTCTGTTATTTCGGACACTCAAGTAAATCCCAGGAGTCGAGTATATCATACCTTGACTATTTTTCCATCATATTTA